GGTGTGACTCCAACCAATGGAGAGTTTGTCCAATGATTCCAGTTTTGCTAGGGCTCCTTGATGCCACACTCGGTCGAATGCAGCTTTGATGTCAAGGGCTGATACTCATATATAACCTCTGGAATTCAGCTCTTTTTTCCATGTTTGAACCAAGGCTGTTATGAGGTTAGGTGTTGAATGGCCCTGGCAGAACCGAAACTGAGCATCACTGAACAGGTTATTGCTGAGCAGGAGCTGCTTGATAGCACTGTTGATGATCAAGAGTAGACTGATGGGGTGTTAATTGCCTGGGTTATATTTGTCGTGCTTTTTGTGTACAGGACATACCTGGACAATTTTTCACTTTGTCAGGTAGATACCAGTGTTGTAACTGTACTGGAAGAGCTTGGCTAGGGGAGCAGCAGCTTGTAGAGCACAAATTTTCAATCCTATTGTTGGAATGTTGTCAGGGCCCGTAGCCTTTGCAATTCCAGTGCTTTCAATTGTTTCTTGATTTCACGTAGACTGGCTTCTGTAAAGCTGGGGGCCACTAAAGAAGGCCAAGATGAATCATCCATTTGGTACTTCTGGCTGAAGATCGCTGTGAATGCTTCAGACTTATCTTTTGTACTAATGTGCTGGGCTCTTCCATCATTTAGGATGGGTATATTTATGGAGCCTTTTCCTACAGTGAGTTGTATAATTGTCCACCACCATTAATGACATGATGTAGCAGGACTGCAGAGCTTATATCTGATCCATTGGTATGGGATCACTTAGCTCTGTCTATCATTTGCTGCTTATGATGTTTGGTATGCAAGTAGTCCTGTTTCGTAGCTTCACCTGGTTGATATCTCATGTTTAGGTATGCACAGTGCTGCTCCTGGTATGCCCTCCTGCACTCTCCATTGAACCTGCGTTGATCGTCTAGCTTGATGGTAATGGTTGATTGGGGATATGATGATATGAATCAGGTGTAGGAACTAAGTGAAGTTGACATCCAGCAATGCAGATGTCCATGACAGTAAAGCTAATGAAGGTAGACAGCTTCAAGGTGAAAAATCATTGGTTCCAGAGGGAACAACTAATCCCGACATAAAGACCAGAGTTCCTGAGACAACAAAGCATAAGAGAAGACCATCAAAATGATATGAAGATTTTATTTGATTTAGTGACAGAATGTGAAATAATTTGTGATTTCAAGCTACATGATTTTCAAGTTGAAAACAGCAAATCTTCACACAAAGCATTTGCTAAATGTGAAGCATTTGGTGTTGTGATTATGTTCAAAACAAAAAGCAAGTGTGTTAAACACTGATCTTGAAAGCAAATGTGATGAAATAAAGTGAAATGCTGAATGAAAGTCTGAAACTATATCGGGCTAATGTACTGAATTTACCCGACATTCATAAATGAAGGATTTAATTCAGTTAGTGAGTTCGGAAAATAATGATGTGTTAAGTTTGTTTGAAAAATTTATTTGTTTATGAAGGAATGCAGTTGTAACAAGAATCCCCTAATCGCTTTCTTTCATCTTTGTTGAAATTGAATCTCTGACTGTGAGGTGTTCTGAGACGTGACAATAAGAATTGCAGACAAATAACTGCAGTCCAGTGTTGTATTTTTCAACCATTTCCAATAGTCCACAGGCAAAAACTGAGAATGTGATTCAAATCCCCAGTTCAGAAAATGACTCCTGGTCTAGACTTCAGTGGCAAAGTAAGGATGAGTATAATATGTCCATGATTATTAAGGTGTGAATTATCCAACACCTTGCTGAGAGGAAAATATACGTTGTGAATTGGGAATTTCCACAAGTGATTGAATTATTTTTGCTCTTCAGTGTTAACTGCAAGCATGCAGCAACTTATTTTCAATCTTCTTTTAATTTTTAAGATATTGTTGCATTTGCACATAAATTGCATCAGGAATCCACTACCAAATATATACATGTGATGATCAGATTGCAATCAATGCGGCACGGTGAATGAATGGTCAACACTACTGCCTCACAGTGCTAGGGACCCGGGTTCAATTCAAGCTATGGGTGACTGTCTGTGTGGAGTTTGCACATTCTCCCTCTGTCTGCGTGGGTTTCCTCAGGGTGCTCTGGTTTCCTCCCATAATCCAAAGATGTGCAGCTTAGGTGGATTGGCCATGCTGAATTGTCCCATAGTAGCCAGGGATGTGTAGGTTAGGTGGATTAGTCATGAGAAGTGCAGGGGTACAGGGACAGGATAGAGGGTTGAGTCTGGGTGGGATGCTGTTTGGAGAATTGGTGTGGACTTGTTACACTAAATGGCCTGTTTCCACACTGCAAGGATTCTATTCAATGGACATATTTGCAGGCAAATTGTGCACATAAGTATCATGCTGAAAACTTTAGAGAATGAGATCTTTCCAATGTGGAGTCAGTAAATGGCATAAATTCGTATGATTTCTGGAATGACTCTAGTAAAATATATTCATATAATCCTGGTCACAAGGCTTTACTTCACCAGTTACAAATTATGAAATAAATATTACTGTGTTGTGGTGCTTTTAAAAATGCCAACTACATTCTTCCAAAGGATAGACACAATTTACTGTGTTTTTCTCCCAAAAGAGACCCTGGGCTTTGTTATAGCACGGCTCAGTTAGCCTAAGCTGCCAAGTAGCAGCTGTTAAGACTGAACAGACATTGTCATCAGCCATTCATTGCAGCCTCAAAATTGGAGGGCTCTCATGGTGCAGTGGTAGTGTCTTCAACTCTTGACCAAGAAACCTAGATTCAATCCCACTTACTTCAGGAGGTATGTAATCTCTGAGCAGGTTGATTAGAAAATACCTGAAGCCTTAAAATTGATTATGTAAATGTCATCACACATCAGAAACAAGTTAACTTTTGTGTAGCAGTAAACTGACCTAGATTATGAAACCATTTGATAGAATAAGTAGGGAGAAGCTCTTTCACCTGCCAAATGGGTTTTAATCAAAAGGACTTAGATTTGAATAATTTCGAAAATAACTATAAGATATAGTAAGGGAACTTGTTTTTGCACAACTGAGCTTTGTTATTATCTTCAAATGTACTACCCACAAATATGGTCAAACTAGGTTCCGTAGGAATTTTCCAGAGGTCATTTATTTCAACAGAATTGATTTGTAGGGTATGCAAAACTGGATGAAATGTGGAATGAAACGGGTTAGCTCCTTCAATGAATCAGTGTAATGGGCCATATGTCCACTTCCATGCTATACAATTCTATGGCTCTAATTTAAACCCATTCAAGATGTACACATTTTTAAATAATTAAAATCAGGCATTCGGATTCCATGCTAGTAACTATGAGCTTCTAATGCTTTGACAAATAACTGCCCCAGTCATCATGTACAAAGTGTATAAGACACTTGTTAGGCATCACCTGGGGTACTGCATACAATTCTGGGTGCTACCATACAGGAAACATGTGAATGCATTGGAGAGAATGCTGATCTGGTTTACAAGAACAGGACAGGGGCAGCATGGTGGCTCAGTGGTTAGCACGCCTCACAGCGCCAGCAACCTGGGTTCAATTCCAACCTCAGGCTGTGTGGAGTTTGCACATTCTCCCCGTGTCTGCTTGGGTTTCCTCTGGGTCCTCATGTTTCCTCCCACAGTCCAAAGGTGTGCAGGTTAGGTAAATTGTCCATGCTAAATTGCACATAGTGTTCAGGGATGTGTAGATTAGGTCGGTTACAGGGGAATGGTCTGGGTGGGATGGTCTGAGGTTCGGTGTGGACTTGTTGGGCCAAAGGGCCTGTTTCCACACTGTAGGGATTCTATGAGGAACCTCAGTTACAATAATAGATTGAAGAAACTAGGACTGTTCTTGGAGAGAACATGGCCAAGAGGAGATCTAATCAGCATAATGGGCCAAATGTCCACTTCCATACTATTTTCAAGATCATGTGTGGGCTGGATACAGAACATAGGAAGGAAGTGTTCCCATTTGTGAAAGGAACAAGAGCAAGTGGGCATAAATTTAAGATGAGATGCAAAAGAAGTGAGGAACTGTTTTTCACTCAGTCAGGAGTGAGGGATGGAATGCTATCTGGTAAAGTGGCGGAGGTAAGTTTAATTGACACACCCAGAGGGCATTGGATGATGATTTGAGTAAAACTAATGTGGAAGGGCAATAATAGAACATAGAACAGTACAGCACAGTACAGGCCCTTTAGCCTACAATGTTGTGCCAAACTTTTACCCTAAACCTAAGGCCTATCTAACCTCCACCCCTACCTTATACTATCATCCTTATGCCTATCTAATAGCCACTTAATGCCCGAATGAGACCGACTCCACTACCCTCTCCAGCAATGCATTCCACGTCCCAACCACTCTCTGAGTAAAGAACCTACCTCTGACATCTCCCCTATATCTACCTCCACTCACTTTAAAACTATACCCCCTCGTAATAGCTACCTCTACCTTAGGAAAAAGTCACTGGCTGTCCAAAAATTGTGGGGGAAAACCAGGAGATTGAGTCAGTACGGGCAGATAGGCCATATCACTGTGTGATTAGGTAATAATATTGACAATATTATTAAAACCCACCTGCTTTAGTTCTATGGCTTAATAATAGATGAAAGTGTATCTGTCTAGGGATTCTATAGTTCTTGCTGTATTCTGAAGGATGTTTGGGTAAAATGGCTACTAGTGTGTTTAATTTATTTCATAAGGAAAGTTTGACAATGAAAGAGCTGGGGTAGGGGTTATATACAACCCACAGGCATGAAGTTTGGGGGCAGGGGCTGCTTATCCTCACAGTGCGTCTTCCAGTATTTTGTTAACAATTCTTTTTTTTCTCTGCCTTACATTTGTAACTGTTACTCCTTCAGGGATAGATTTTTTTTGGAGACGAGATTTTTGCTGGCGTATTTATCGCATTGATGGATATTGATTGTTTTTAATGAAACATCGATGCACATAAGGAACATTAAATAAAATCACCGCAAGGGCAACGTTTAGGCGCAATAGTCACCAGCTGCAGACTTCCGTTCCAAAAAGGGAAGCGGACAGAAAAAAGTTTTCTTTTACCAACCACCCCACCCTCCCTTAATAACGATGCACTTGCAATTCATATCGTTTTAACCTGATCCGTTCCAAATGCAAATAAACACACCAATATTGTACACTATTAATCCCGCTTTGGGATTATTAATGAATTTCTGCAAGACAATTTCTTGTCGTTTCGGTTGATGTCACATTATTCAAAAGTTGAAAAAAACTGATTTTTTTTTGCTCGGTAAGCCAAAACGTAGTATTGCTTCAGCAGACGATAGCCTCAGTCCTATTTGTGAAGCTACTGCTCGCGTTAACCCAACCCGAATGGTAAGTCGGTTATGGAAGCAGCTGTTCTACCCACCCAGTATGTTTTTCATTTCTGTCTTAAATAGTTTAGCAATGACAATTTCATCATTCACTCACTTATACGAACCCTTCTCTCGAATGTACCATACCAAAAACACTGCACTTGCTATCAGTTAACCTTTGCATTTACAACTCGTAAATGATCACCGAACATATTATAGATAATATTTAACATAGCTTACTGAACTAAAAAGACAAGGCACATTTCGAAGGAATGTAAAGTTTTTTTGCCAGCAGTTTATGACCCGTTCGGTAAGGATCAGCTTCCTGCTTTACTGTCTTCCCTGCCTCAGCCACGGTTCAAAAGGGATCAAACGTAACGGAGTTTGCACTTTCCGCCAAAGAACAAGACTAACTAAACATGAAGGTCAGTAACCAGCGCGACATGATCATCTCACGGTGCAAAAAGTTGTTTTAATGTAGTTCGACCAGAGCCAGATATAAAGTTTTAGCCATGTCAAATAATTTCATGTTGGATGCATTTGATAGAAATTATAGGAGGGTTTCCATTGTGGTGGCGTTACGATAACTTTGTACAAAGCAGAATTCCAGTCTAATCATAATAGTTTGACGGAGTTTTATTTTCGCGAGTTTAACTCTTAATGGGGAATGAAGGAATGTTAGTTTGGTATGGTGCTTCCAACGTACTCTTTTCCCATGAATTCTTTGCATTTCAGACCGTTTTGAAAGTTGTGCTCGGGGTCATTGCAATTGCTGTCGTCATCATCGTGATAGCAGTTCCCATTGCAGTTCTCGTCGGCAACAGTAAGTGCATTTAAAGCTGTTCAGATATTGGAGCATGTCATTCGTGATGTTTTCAGTTCTTATTTGTAGAACGGCTTGATTTTTCTACGAAGCAGCAGAAATTGATGGAAAAAACACAAGGTTTTACAGAGCTGGTTTGCTCCCATTATGTCAATCTGATGTGTTACAGTGCGTTGAATCTGCAAAACTTATCAATGCTTCTCTAAGCACATCCTTGGGAAATGTTGACTGATATTTACAGTGCAGATATTTTCATACCACGTGCGCAATTTCAATGAGGCGAGGAATTCACCAAAGTGCGAATTTTACTTGCAGTTAGAAGGATCTAATATCGGAGTCATAACAACACAGATACAGGACTTTACACCCACCGAGCCCATAATTAATTGTTTTTTAATACTATATTCCTTCCAAATCTGACTCTTTTGATACCTCATATTTTACATTTCTACTCTTTTGTTGCAAGTAGTTTTACATTTGCATCACTAGTACTCCCTATTACACTTGTATATGACATTTTAAGCACAGTATTACTTGCTGTAATTTTCTTATCATTGACAGTCTACTACAAATTGCAGAATATATAGGGGAAGTACCTTTCAAATTCTAGATCTTTATTAACATTTTACAATTGGGAGAAATCTCTTCACAGATTTGCAAGGTTTATATCAGAATTACAAATTAAAACCAATTTGTCTTTCACAATTAAAGCAGCTAACTGTATAAAATAAAATTATAACAACAAACATAGAACAATGGTATAGCAATACAAATTGTCACACTCCCTGCTTTTTCCTCTTCAAATATATGTCCAATTCCCTTTTCAATCCTTTTGCATCCTTTTCAAAATATCTGCTCAAGCAGTACATTCCAGATCATTACAATCTGCTGAAAGTAAAATATTTCCTCAAGTCCTCTTTGGCTCTGCCATTAACCACCTTTTAAAACTAGGTCAAATAAAGCAAGGAACTATGAATTCTGGAAACCTGAAACAAAGACAAAAAGTGCTGGAGAAACTCAGCATCTGTGGAGACAGAAACAGAGCTAATGTTTTGAGTGCAGTGTTGTGGTGACGGGTCACTGGACTCAAACGTTTGCTCTGTTTTCCTCTCCAAAGATGCTGCTGGATTTGCAGAATGGCTCCAGCGTTTTCTTTGTTTAAAACTATGTCTTTTGGTTACCAATCCACTTGCCATTGGAAACACTATCAAAACTATTCATGATTTTCAACACCCCTATCTTGTATCCTCTTAATCTTCGTGATGTAAGGAGTAAAGTCCAGCTTCTCTCAACAAATAACTGAAATCTGTCATTCTTAGTATTGTTGCAACAAATCTTTCTTTTCTTGGCTTTGAGACCCATTTGAAAGTGTGGGACATGATTTCTGAGGAGAAGATCACCATTCTGAGGCCTACATGTATTTTGCTTTATCTCACTCTTCCCCACCCCACCTCCCATGGCTATTTATTTGGTGCTGAATTGGATTTTAGAATCTCTGAAAGACCTGTCCCCCACTTCAGAGTTCGAGAGCTTCTTCTCCTATTGGAGGAAGCCTGCTGATGAATTGGGTGCGTTGGAAAGCAAGTTGTCAATGTTTTGCCAAATTCAAATATCACTGCTGGATATCATGTTTTATATGCAGCTGTATTTTAACTGTTATGATTCGTTGTAATGCTTTGCTTAAAAAGACAAGTTAGCCATTATATTGACCAGCACTGTTTCACTGTGATCTATTAGAGTAATTTTCATGTGGGAAAATGTGCCAGAATGCATTCAAAACTGAGAAAATATGTTCAGAAACCCTCCTGTCCTGTTATGTTCTGAGGTTTAAATGTCACAATAAAGAATGAAAAAAATTGTCCTGCTGTTAAAAGTTAAAAGGAAAGTTGTACCACCAGTTCCACTCCACTGATTTGACTGGAAATTTGGTTTGAAATGGAAAAGGTACATTTTGCTATTTCAGTTTAATTATCTGGAGCTGCTAAAATTTAGGATCATTATGAATGCTTGGCTGCATTTCAAAAGCAGTAGTCTATTGCCACAGCTGTTCATGGGTATGAAAGCACAGTTTTAAACAATTATGATAACATTGTCAGCCTATCTGATTTGAGAAGGATTTCTTTTTGTCACAAATTCATGTTCGCTTAAGGGTTTTCATTGGCAAATAAGGTTTTTTGCAGTATCAATATCAGTACATTTGAAATACAGATTTATTGGGTTGTTGGATGTTTCAAATTTTCTAACTGTATTTGGAAGAATTTCCATTGATATTGCATGGTTCATGACTACTTTACCTGGTGGATACTGCATGAGTGGCCATCAAGAAAAATAGGGGCATGAAAGATATAATGGAACATGAGGAAATGAGATGCCATGAAAGTTGTAAAGAGGGCTAGCAGGGAGGTGCAGAAGGCATATCAATGATGTTGAGATTTGGGCTCTTCTCCCTAAGAATCGAGGCAGATCAGCTAACCATCCTCCACACACATACACTTTCCACACTGCAACACAGCTTACAAAATCCATCCCCTCCCCTACCATGCCCTTCAGAGGCAACAATCTAGTAGGAATGAGATTTGGGTTTCAGTTGTCAGGAACAGATCTGACTGCTGCTACCCTAGCCCACAACAGGGCTTGTCCTGCCACCTTCAGATATCGGTCTACAGAATTGCCAGGTCCCTCTTCTTACATCCCTTATAAAATTATATCCTTTCATTCATATTGCCATCTTTCATTTCTTCTCTCGACATGAAACGTTAGAATCCTCTGCATTAAGCTTTACTTGGCATGAGTCTGCCCACTTTAGCATTTGTTTATGTACTTCTAAAGTCAATTGCTATCATCCTTATTATTTAATACATCTGAGCTTAGTGTCATCTTCAAATTTCAAAATTACTCCCTTTGCACTAAGGTCCTTGTGATTACTATTTTAAGAAAAAGAGCAGGGATCTTAATGTATTGCAAAAAACTCTGTAATTATTCCATAATGAAACTAAGATAAAATGCTGCACCTATACATTTTTAAAAGGAGAACGGCATCTTATTCACATACCCACTGTTCTATGATTTCTACCTTGGTGAAGGACAATGGTTTGAGGAGCCATTATGTCCAAGAGACCTTCGAAGTTGCACATTATCTTCACATGTTTATATGCCACCTTTGTTTCATTGCCTTTGGTCAATAACCTAGAATTTCCTACCTAATGCTGTAGTGGAAGCTTCATCACAGTAAAGAATGTGCATTTAGATAATGCCTTTCAAGAATAGACATAGAAGAATTGCAAACAAATACTGCAGTTAGATCAAATAACTTATTTATAAGGGAGATTCAGAAGTTACGTGGCCCCAAAAGATTTTGTTTTGATACTTTATTTGGTGCATTTTTTTTGGAATTTTGGAATGGATTTAAATATTTTATGCTACATACACAAGGTCTGAGAGAGTACAGTCTATCAAGTTGGACAGAAAGTAATTATAACTGTATCCTTTAGTAATCAAAAATCAAACTAAAATCTGTTTGTTTCAAATTGCTTCATTTTATTTTACAGCATTTTACTGATCTTAGAAATGACTGATTTTATGGTGCTTGCTATTATCGATATTACGTTGTGTAATATTTCGCACAATGAATTAACTCATTTGTTTAAAATAGATTTGCACCTTATAAAAGTGTACACTTTTTTTCAAATTCTCTCATGAAATGTGGCGTCACTGAGGTTTGCATCTGTTGACCATCCATCATTGTCATGAAATGAAATGCTTTTTAGGTCATTACAGAAGGCAATTAGAAGAGTTTGTGTGTGTCTGGAGTCACATGTTCTGCAGATTTCCTTTCCTAATGAAGAACTTTAATGAACCAGTTGGATAATGGTGACTTCATTGTCTATGGTCCTCAGACTAGCTTTCAATTCCAAATTTATAAGTTGCATTCAAGTTCTACCAATTGCTGTGGTAGGTTTCGAACCCATATACCCAGGGTACTAGTCTGGACCTCTGCATTACTAGTATAGTGAAATTACCCCTGTGGCATCATTTGCCCTGTGGACTTACAACTCATTTAATGTTTGTCTTTCAACAATTCAGTCACCAATGATGAGTTGGTTTTAATCTCTATAAATATCACTATCAATCACATATATTTTAAAAAGTAACTTACCAGAAATAGTCACTGTTGCAAAATTTAATGTTCTTCATCCGAATATGGCTCCCAGTAATGCCTTGACATGATATCTTTTTTTATCTTGTACTTTTGGAGCCACAAACTGATACATTTCTATAGCTCCACCAGAGAAGAGATATATTATTCATATTTGTGAAAGGTGAGTTAGCAGACTTGAGATAAGACTATTGTTCAACTTAAATAATTTTTATTATAATGTGAGCTTACATCAATATTAGATTTTTCAAAAATGGGGGCACTAGAATAAAACTGAGCAAAGCTGCAAAGTTTCAATTGTCAAAATCTCTAATACATTTTGACAAAATAAAATTTCAGATGTAGCCAAATAATTCATCCGATAACAAGTTTGAGTAATAGGTGGTGGTAAATAAATGAATAGGTGACAAACCATTCATAATTATCCATTTTAGTAGCAGTTTGGAAATTTATTATCAAATAATAATGAACTTGATGAAAGTTAAAATGTACATTTACACGGACTGCAGATAAATGAGGGTTGAATGTGTTATTTAATATTAACAGGGAATTAATCTGAATGTAAATTGTCCAGTAATGGTTAGAATTTACACACTGGCTCCCTGATCTGCCCACTTACTTTTGGCTGAAAACCAACCGAAACAATGACTTAAATGTGATAGGGCTGGGAAGTTTATATTCTTAAATAAAGCATTTATAGCAGTGATAGAGACGGGAATTGTATGCTTATAAGTTTCTATGATTAAAAAGTTTATCACAGCACAAAGTGTATTCTAAATGGTTATAAAGATGGAGTACATTTGGATAACATTAAGAAATAGGAAGGGTAATTTTGATTGCATTACAATTTGTCCAATGGTGAGATAAGATAAAGCCAGACTTCTGCAAAGTGGTTAAAGGGAGAGATAAGAACAATGGAACAATAATAAAAAAAAACAATTCTGCAGATGCTGGAAATCTGAAGTAACAGCAGAGAGTATTGGAAAAACTTATCAGGTCTGCAAGCATCTGTGAAGACAGAAACAGAGTTAACATTTCAGGTCCAGGATGACTTCTTCAGAGCTGAAAGGAGAAGGAAAATGGTGATTTTTTTTATCCTGCTGATGCAAGGAGATGGGGGTGTGAGAAAGGAGGAGGGAAGAAGCAAGTGAAACAGATTGCGACACTGCACAAGAGCAAAAGACAAAGGCAGTGATAATGGTGATAAAGGAGGGATAGAAATGTAAAATCAGTGTAAGTGAAGGTGCAGAAAGGAGAAAATGGGTCCTCATGCTGAGAGAAAATCCAAGAAGAGGTGGCCGGAGAGCGTGGGGAATATAAGAGAAATGGAGCAAAGAAGTCATACTCCGAAGTTGTGGAACTCAATATTGTTTGTGCCTTATAAGTATAAATGCTTAGCCCTCTAAATATCCCCAAATCTCTCCTGCCCCTCCCCCCACCCCCCTGTCACATGTATGCACACACACACACGCACACACACACGCACACACATATGCATTCTTTTTCTCTTCAGAAGAGAAAATAAAAGTTCTGCAGAGATTGGCCTTCTGAAAACAAAACTTTTCATTCAAGAATAACCCATTGGCCATAGGATAAAGTGTAGGGTAATCTGGAATCTGTTGCTGTGGTGTTCTGGCATGGGTGATGAAATCACTTTGGTTGTCTCTGCAGTTACATCTTAAGATGATTCTTCAATCACTCTTTCAAAAGAACAAACAGTTCTGAACTTCGCACAAGGGGTTTCTTTTCAGAAATGAGAAATGATCTTAGCAAGCTTCCTCCTAACCAAAACAGACAAAACAAGCAGCTGTCCGCACCTTTCATTGTTCAAAACAGCCCCAGCAAGGTCTAGATATTTTAATCAGAGATGTTTGGACATGGAACCTCTGGACAACTGGGCCTCCTGGCTCAGGAAGGAACTGCATCACTGTATCTCAAGAGCCCTCTCCCCAGCAAAGTCTGCAGCATTTATCTATAGCATGAGATTTCCATGCAGCCTTTTAAAAAAATGCCTTAAATGTCCACAGTGAACCTTCAATGACATATTTTAAAGAAACCACTGCAGGTGTTTTCACATATCTTGAAATATCCACAATCCATCAAAGCTCAAATCCTCTAAGCAATATGGTTAATTTGAGACATGTAAATATGGAATCTGGGAGGACCAAGTGTCTTTGTATTTAATGGTTCCCAACATTCTCTAGTGTCATATTTGCATGTTGATGCTTTCATAGAGATTGCTGTGATTAGTCAGCAAATTTCTTACTATCGTATCAGACAACTGTCGGGATCGTAGAAGGTGAACTAAATGGACTTTGTTAGCTTCTCACTTAGCAAGTTTCTTTGTACCACCTAATAAAAGTTTTGCAGCTGATCATAGGTCACCGGATAATAAAATACTATGAAATGTTGCAAGATCATGACAAAAGCAATGTCATGCACATACACAGCATTGAGGCCAAGCTGTCTGGTAAAGGCAGATTTAAAGCACTTCAAAGCAGACTTGTATGATGATTTCCAGCAGTTTCTACTATAGTTACCACTTTTTCCTACTTTCTCCCTGACCTGAGTTCAAGAGACAGTATTGAGCCTTTTTGCATTTTTCAACCATATGCTGTACAGTTAAATAGTTCGTAGTTTTTTGTTTTGCATACCCCACGCTCGGTCAATAAACGTGAATTTTCTTTATCTGACAGTTAAAGAACACAGTTGTATGGCACTATTTAATAGTTGCCCTGCTCTCTCCTGTACTATTGTAAAGGGCTAAGTGGCTTTTGTTTTAATTAGCCGATTAGCACTGTTAAAAGAGTACTCTTTAGTATTTATCTTGCTACACCATTGTGCAGCTAGATGTATTGTACAGTATATAGAATGATCCATCCCTCTGTAAAAGTCATCAGAATGCTCTGTGGTTATATAGCTCAACAATTGATGGACCCACATAGAGGTCCAAGATCCCTAGCACAAGAAACACCTAAAATTGTAAGGAAAGATGACCAGTTAAATCTGGAAGGGTGCAATTCAGCCTTGTTTTTAAAAAGGTTTAAGGCAGGGCTTCCCAAAGTGAGGGTCGGGACCCCAAGTCCTATCCCAGTTCTTCTTCCAAATCTAATCCACCCCCCTACCCACCCACATTCTCTGCTCTTGTAGATCTTCTCCCCTTCCCCTTTGCTCTGAAAGTTCTTGCAGAGGTTGTGACAGTTTTCAAGCCTTAAAATAGTGGGAAGAAGTTTGGGATGTACTGATTTTAACAGGAAGGGAAGACTTGAGGAAGTTGCGGAATTCCAAAATTGTGACCTGATGGTGAAGAATAAAAGATGAGCAGGGCTATGGAGATAAACTGGGACTAATTGGACAGCTTCTAGTAAACTGGCATGGACATGTTGGGCTGAATGTATCATTTCTTGCTGTGTTAACTTGGTGGGCACGATTTTTAAGTTTTGAAGCAAGCTTTTTAGATGGCAATGGGCAGCCTGCTCCCACCAGTGGATGCATTCACTAGATTGCCTGCCAATCAGCTAATTAAGAGCTGAGAGGTGATCAAGGGTGAATACCTTCTCCTATCACAGGCGATATGGGTTACTAGAAGTTGTCGGCCAGTTGGAGTTAAGCATTGCTTTTCTTTGTAGGGTGATAGTGGAGGGAGGCGTCCAACAAAATATGGAGGCAAGGGAAGGGGTGGATTTCAGAGACCTCCCACTTGTTTCCCATCCAAACCTCTAATTTCCCCAGAGAAGGGAATTCAATATCATCGCAAACATGCAAGCAGGTTACATGTTTTCCCTTTCAGGAAGTTAGCTATGCTTCTTGCCTGCCTTAGCGATAGGTGATCAGAGTGATAGTGAGTTCAGGCCTTTAAGTGATCAATAGTTAACCACTTAAGGACCTTAATTGCAGTTAAGTTGAAAGTTGACCATGGTCCTTCTCGCCCTACACTACAAATGGCGAGACAGAGATAGGTTACTCTTGAGGGAAACTTTCTTGCACCTCCAGGAAGCGCTATGACTTGATTAAAGGAAGCTTAAATTATAATTCAGAGAATATGAATTCAGGTCTTGACAGTTTGAGAATTTGTGTTCAATTTATCAAATCTTGGAACTGAAAAGCTTGCAACATTAAAAGTGACCATAAAGATGCTGTTTCACTGCAATAACTCACACTGACTGACTAAAGTCCTGAATGGAAGGAAACCTGTTTTGAGCTTGTCTGGCATATGTAACTTCAGTCACACATCAGCATGATGGGCTTTTAGATGCCTATTGACATGCTACAGAAAATCACTGTAGTATGGTTCCTACTCTCTGGAAGACTGCTACTGTTGATTTTCCTGTCTGATCTCCTTGATTTTCTTTCTCACAAATTATTTTATTCCTCCAGGTTGCCTGAAAACATTGCACCTTTGGATGAGATGTGGTTTCATACCTTGGCAAGCAGCTGGTTTTTTTTGTTCCAGTAGCGAATACTGGGAGGCTATCTGTTTATTGTGTCTGCCAGTTCCTGAGCTTAGTCTGTCCTCTCCCAAAATTTGCATGCATCTAACAGGGTCATTTAATCATGATCAGTAACAAGAAATCTGGCCAGCTCTTCCTTTTCCTTACCTGGGGAAACCACAGACAATTGTAATAGGCAAAATACTTCCTGATGAGATTAACTAACTCGGCAGATTGTGGATTAACCCTTGGATCTTTCCATGACAAGTAATTGACTTGCATGTATTACACATAACACTACTCTAGAGATGTTGGAGGAGATTTTGTGGCCTTTCACACAATCAAAATCCTAGACTAATTTACTAACTTTTAGCCTCCCACCTCCACATTTTTCCCAAGTGGAAAATGTTAAAATTGACTCCCAAGTCCAGTACTAAACTCCCAAAGTTTCATCCAATTAAAATATCTGTCATAACAATCCTTTTGGGCTCTGGAAGAACATTCTTCACACCTCAGGTTCTACATAAATAGATGTATTTATATTATTAACCCTATGGGACTTTTTCCTTTTCTTTCAGAACCTAAATGGATACACTTGGACAAATACATGGTTTTCCGTAAGTTCAAGAAGCCAAGTTTATTCGTAATTTTTCCTAACAAGTTATAATCATTATTGCGTACAAAAACAGAATAAATGTCATTGAGTCTAAATTAAAGAGGTGAGCTGGCAGTCCAGCAGCTCAACAGCAGAGCAGTAATACAGTTCAATGATATGAGTAGATGCTTTTAGTCTATTTATTGTAGTCCATATTCTGTTTGGCCAACTACACAACTTCAATAAAAAATGATCTAAAACTTAAAATTAAAGCTAGGCAACTTAGGAATAATGCATTCCACAAAAAGATAATAGAAATATGGAAGGTTCTCCCTTGAAAGGCTGTGCATTCTGGATCAATTGAAGTTTTCAAGATATTCTTGTTAAAGGTATGAGAAACATGGAGCAAAGTTAAATAGAGTTGAGGTACCGACCAGCCATGATCTAACTGACTGGAAAGAAAGAATTGAGGAAGTAAATGGTCCATTGCTGTCCTTTATTTCTATGAAATGATGATACAAGATTGCAACAGCATAAAAGTCATACAAACGTTAGAGTCTGTACTTGAATATAATATTTACGCTGTGGTGCTATTAGACTGTGCAGGTGTGGTCAAGGATCTGGAGTATGGTTTTGAAATTTTCTCCAGATGCACTACAGTGAACGTCTAGGCATAATTCCCAAAATTGGCAGTTGAGATGCAGCTTTCGGATGGAATGGAGCATCCATATGAGCCATTCCATGATAACGTTTATACAAAATAAACAAGCTTAGTGAAATAGGCCAGTAACTGAATTACTTTATGAAATATGGTTGACTTTGTTTTGTATATGGGTTTTTTTTTTACGAATGTGTTGTATCTGCACATATTAGCCTTGATGGGGGAATAATTAAGACTGGGACTAATGTCAAAACTGTATCTGCATCATACATAAAATTTGCAAGTGTGACATTTTGAAGTGTAGTGTACACTTTCCTATACATTATGAACCATTTTAGTTCCAGACAGCAGAAGTGTATTCTTTTGCAGTATTGAACCCCGAATGCACCATTTATCTCTTCCAAATTTGAGCACATAAAGACTCATAACTTTATGTAACACTCTAACTCATTCGTTCTCATGACACATGCCTTACCTTCTCCTCCTTTTCTATAATTGATAGATCTTGTGGAACTGAAATATGGTGTCACCTAACCAATACTTCTTATTCTTTCTCACTATTTAAAAACTTTTTGCATTCATGGCTTGACTTGAGGAAAGAGTTAATTGTAAAAATTGAAATATGTATTTTAACTCCACTGCCTGGACACTGATCTTGCAGAATAGATAGCACAACATAATATAGTATTCCTGATTTTCAATCATCTAGAACTTATGGTGTGTTTGTTTCACCATTAAATAGGCTTCCAGAAGGTGAAGACAAAAATATACCTCATTTATTTGGCACTGTTAATTGTGATTATCACTTTGTACAGTTGTGTTTAATATTTCTAAGAATGTTAGGTCAGTTCACATATATGATAAATGTTTTTGAGAAACAGATAGCAAACATTTTTTTTCAGTCACAAGTTATTTGGTGCTATTGCACTAAAGTATGGTGAATTATGAAATTAATCTGTAAAATTCCTTGCAAGAAATATTACTTCAGCTTTAAAGCAGCACTATACAGATCTGTTGCTGTCAAATCCTACTTTGTAACTTTGTATGTTATGTGTATGTTCTATGTTGCTGACACAATATTGAGTCACCTATATGCGGCAACGTCTTGAATAAGTATTCATGCATCACGAAGCTGTCCGAACAGACAAAAGAAAAACTAATCAAAGTATGAAAAAAAATTCTACTTCAGTGTTGGTGTTTACCTTTATTTTATGTAATGTAACCCTATGAACAGATAAAACTTCATTTCAAGAATTTTTTTCAAGCATATTGATGATTACGAGATTAAGTTTCTAAGTTATTAAGTAGAAGTGAAAGCTAGATCGGAGGAAACTATTGTTGCTTGTGGAGTCTAGGATGAAACGATGTAGCCTCAAACATTAGTGCCAGGCCTTTATGGAGTGAATTTAGAAATGATCTTAGAAAGAGTAATAGAAGTTCAGAACTTCTCTTTCATGAATAGAAACTAATGCTGGGTTAATTGTTCATTTTAAATCTATTATTATTAACCAATGGTGTTAAGGGATGGGGGCAAAGGCTAGTATGTGGAGTTAAGTTGTAGTTTAGGCATGATCTCATTGAAGGTAGATAAGGTTTGAATGCTAAATGGCCTACTTCTATTCGTACGTTTCTCTCTGGAGACCAATTTTGATAATGCACATTTGTGAATATTGGGTGAGAACGTCCATTTGCTTTTGGTTTGAAACACTTGAATATTAAATGTTTTAGTGTTAGAATTAATCTTGGCTTCCATGTGAAAATTACAATTAGCAATGAATATTTACTAGTCTCAGCAATTCAGATGAACCACTTAAAAAAGGCTAGCACCTTAAACTAAATGCAGCTGTAAAGCAGATCTGACTGTCAACCACTTGTTTAACACAACTGAATAAGTTAAAATAATTTTTTAGACTTGAGATTACAGGGATTTTGAATGTTTAGAATGACATGACACCGTACAGTGTTTCTGTACAAATTGCACCACAATGGCAACAAATATAATTTAGGAAAACAGTTATAAAGTAAGTTTAATGAAATGTTGTACCCAGTACAAGTATTGTACCATTGATTAAACGTTAGCCAGCAATTGGTGCTTTTCAGAAACATATTAGGTTTTGTACAGTTATGAAGCTTGTGGCGTGCAGTGCAATTATTGCTACAGAGATAACTGAGGTGTGGGGTTGGTTGCTGAAATTGATAGCAGCTCTGAATTCTTCACAATGAGGAACCCTGGGCTGAGGCTGAATTTGGTGACTGATGAACAGCACAATATCTGCTGGAAAAGCGGGGTGTGGGTGGAGGTCACTGTTGCTTACTGGTACTGGCAGGACTTTGTTGTCAGTTTTTTGGACAGGAGGTAATGAAGTGGCTACTGGCAGGCAAACAGCAACCTGCCCCAGAGAGTTGCCAGCAATTCAGGAGGGCAATGCAATGAGGAACAGTGACCACTGCTGAAGCAGAGTGGGGGCTATCTGAATTCAACAGGAAAGGGAAGAAAACCTTAAGTGTTAGAGACCCAGTAGTGGACAGGAAGCTGGCCAGGAAGAATAGCATTTCTGAAGAAGGGTCCCAACCTGAAACGTCAGCTTTCATGCTCATCTGATGCTGCCTGGCCCGCTGTGTTCCTCCAGCACCACACTGTGTTATCTCAGACTCCAGCATCGACAGTTTTTACTATCTCTGGGATTGAGAGGATTGCCTTCCCTGCCCCTGACCCTCAAAAATCCCCCAAGGAGGTAACCTCCCTCTGTCGTGGGAATTTGATTTCTGATGGAATGATAAAATGCTTCTTTGCATGATCAAATTCAGAAATCACACAACATCAGGTTATAGTCCAACTGGTTTATTTGAAAACACAAGCTTTCGGAGCCTCTCTCCTTCTTCAGGTGTTAGTGACAGAGGCAGTATCATACACAGAATTTATAAGTAAAAGATCAAAGGGTCACACCACTGATCGGGTTGTATTAAACAAACCTGAGATGCTGCTAAATCTTTAATCAGTTAGAATGTTTTAATGATTAATATGTATGTGTAAATCCCCAAATTCCTTTTAAGTCACTATCCTGAGAGAAATAAAGGTTTTATCAGTGTAAAGAAGAGGTGACATTTTAGGTCAGACAATGCATGTTAGGTGTGAGGCCTTGTTTAGAATCTGTTTGTTTTGCTACATAGAATGTATCTGCAAATACAAATTCACCCCATAGATTCTGTGTCTGATACCACCTCTCTCGCTAACACCTGAAGGAGAGAGGCTCTGAAAGCTTGTGATTTCAAATAAATCTGCTGGATTATAACCTGGTGTTATGTGATTTCTGACCTTGTCCACCCCAGGCCAACACTGGCACCTTCACATCATGTTCAAATTGGCTTCTGGCCATTTTAATAAAGCTGGCTATCTAAAGCTAGCTATCTCTTTGGGGTTTAGGCTGAACAGACAGTGTTAGATCTATGCCAAGGATCAATTCACTCCTGGACTTTGAAAAAAATCAACAAATATAGTACCTTTTCCAGTTCTTGTGCATGTGCAGAAATGGAAATTGGCTTGTGGTGAAAAGTGTACAGCCAATGGCTTTCCCTTCTCCACTGTATGGTGAACAACCCCAGCTTCTTCACTTTCTCTATATAATTGAATTCACTGATTTCTCTGGTTAAAATCTGTTAAATCTTCTCTGCAATGTCTTGATGATTTTGACATCTTTGCCGAAGTTTGGTTCCAAGAATTAATACCATACCTGAACTACAATATCTGAAGCCTTTTCAGTGATTTTCAAGAGGTTATAAAACTTAGTGCTTTTTGTACTCTTTATGCATCGATATAATACTCTTATTATATAGTCAAGGTTCCGGATTTGCTTTATTAACAACCTGCTCAATTTGTCTGTCAGTTTCAAAAAATACTATAAGCAAATCTCAGATCTCTTTACTCCTCCAACCCTTTAAAAATGAGCCATAAAGTTTAAATTGCATTTTCTCAAAGGCATCATTTCACAATCCATCAATCAATTAATTTAGTTATAATCCTGCATTGTCGTGTTGGATGAATGTTGTATTTCCCACGTGCCTATTTACATCCATTATTAATATTGACACCTCCAAAGCAATCATGAAGATAAAACTAGAAAATTTACATTACACATCTGGTGGCAAAACAATCATGCAGAATGCTTTGGTCTCAGTTTTTAATAATTAGTGTGCAATAGACATAAGCAGACAGAATTAATGGTCCTCCAGAGTTAGGTCAATCAACAATTTCTAGCAATCTTCAAAACAAAGAGGAGTGTGCAGAATATTGTCTCACTTTATATTACGGTAGTTCTTTTAAATAGTGTAAATCAATTTATTAAAGTCCTCTTTATTCCATCGAAATTTGTAATGTTTGGAGATTACTCTCTCCCTGCAACTGAATTGAACATATGAATTTTAAAGCAGAAGTGGACCATTTGGTCCCTCAAATTTATCGTTTGAAGCTGTGTTTTCATATTAATTTATGGCACCCACAACTCTGGGAGCTGATGAACCCAGAAAGGCAGTTTGTTGAAAGAGAGGTAATATCCCTTTGACCTAACAAAGAAATTTCAATCAGTGTAGATGTAATATGTCTTTGCCCTTCTCTACTGATAAAACATGTAGGACAATAGTGGGAAATCGGTCCAGTTCACACTTATTAGGCCTCCTGAATCCAGTATCTTCTGGGATCAGGTAGCAGGTATCAGGTATCAGGTAGTAGATAGGGTGGTTAAGAAGGCATTTTGGATACTTGCCATTATTAGCTGAAGTACAGAATACAAGAACAGAAAGCTATGCTGGAACTGTATAAAATGCTGGTTCAGCTACAGTTCTGGTAACTACATTAAGGGAAGAATGATATTGCACTAGAAAAGGTATGGAGGAGATTTACCAGGATGCTGTTTGGGTTGGAGGTTCTGAGCTATGAGTGAAGATTGGTTAGGTTGTCTTGTTTTCCTTGGCACAACAAAGATTTAGAGAGGAACTGATAGTGGTGACTAAGATTGTGAGAAACATAGATAGGGTAAGATAGGAAGGCTTTTTGTTTATGAGTAAAAACGGTCAATAAATCGCGGTGGGGGGCGTGCAGATTTAATGTAAGAGTTAGTAGGCTAAGAGGAGGGTTGAAAGAGTTTTTAATGCAGAGGATGGTGGGAGTGTGGAACTCACTGAACGTGTGGATGAGTCAGAAACTCTTGTAACATTTAGGTAGAACGTAGATATTCACTTGCATTGCCATAGTCTCCAGGTATAAGGACCAAGAGGTGGGGAATAGGATCAGTGTAGCTTGATTTTTGAAGACTAGAATGGGCATGATGGACTGAATGGCCTTGTGTACTTTGACTATCTGAGTGACAAGCATGACTTCCATTTTGGGTCGCCTAAAGACCCTGAAGGATTTTAAACTTCTGGTTTTTTTTAAATCACTGCAAGCTTTGGTCTAATAAAGGCCCATAAAATTATCCCCTGCCTACGATACAGTCGTAGAAAATAGTTCAGTACTTTTTTCAGAAGTGTCACAGGCTCTTCTGCTTTCCTACTTTATTGCATTTTTTACAAGCTGGCCTGCTCACATAGACCAAGTGACCTTGTTCATTATGATTTTGGATCAAATTATTGGCCTGCTGTGTTCATCCAGCTCTACACCTTGTTATCTCAGCTTTACAAAGAGGTTGATCAACGCCCCACAAACTTATGACTCCTTAAAAAGATCTGTGAACCTTCAAGCTCAGACCTTGCACTTAACATTCTTTGTTTTCTAAATTTGTGAATATGTTTGTCCTGTGTAATATGGTTTTCATGGGCTGACAGAAATGAAGCGAAGGACTGTCTGGGGCCTAAAGTCTTTCAAAAAGAAAGAAATATCATAACATGGATCTCTTCCACATTCCCAAGCCAGTTATCCTGTCAGAAGCCTTGGAGACAGGGTCATATACATTCACAGTGCAAACAGTTCATATCTCAGAGGTGTTTTTAGTCCATTGAATAATCTTTTCAACCTCCCTGCCATGCTTTTCTATTTTTCTCTTGATTTTCTTGAGCATTGTTAATACTAACTGATCATTATTTGCAATGCAAATTACTTTTGTTAGAGAAATGGTGGAAAGGTGTGGAATTTTTCCCATCCACCCCGTTCCTTTTTACCAAGAGTCAGCTCAAGCACCAGCTTGTTTAAACTTCAGTCTGAAAGAGTCAATTTGTGTGCTGCCCTCTGGCATTTTCATTATATCCCTCAACGACGATGAAGCCTTTTGAGAGTTCCTGGCAGTAGAAATCCTACGTCCTGAAACTCTGCACCCTCCCAGCCCGTATCATGTACAACACATTGGAAGGACTGCCAAAATATATGAGGAGTTTACCAGGCATCATCATGCAGAAGTAGTAGCATTGCATTTAACCTCAACATTATGGCCGAACAATCAACTAGATTGTTGTCATTCGTAGCCACACTGTTCACCCATCACCCTTGTACTCATTAACCTAGGTCCTTGATCTAACAATGCCGAGATCTTGCGATTCTCATGTTCACATTCTTCCAGTGTCATGCCCTTCCCCATCTCAGTAACCACCATAAACCTTTCAATCCCTTCAGGATCTCTGTTCATGTGCAATTTCAGCCTCTCGCACATCGCTGATTTGTAATGGTGCAATATTGGCCATTGTGCCTTCAGCTCTAGGCCCTAAATTCTGAGATTTCCTTTTTAAGCCTCATCACGTTTCTACCGCACTTTTCTCCATCAAGGTGCTTCTTGGAATCTATTTCTCTCACCAGCCTTTGGTCATCTTGCCAAAAATTTTCTTGTGTAGGGCAATGTCAAATTTTGTTTGTCAGCACTTTTATGAAATGACTTGGGACATTTTACTTGATTCAGAGTGGTATATAAAGGTAAGTTGTTGTTGGATTGTAGTACCAAATATGGACAATCACCAAAATAACTGGGCTTCTTCACTATAAGTGAAGAATAATAAGTGTGGTATATAGCTCACTGAAAATAACTATCGCTCACCTATCTGTTACACAGTAACATAGTGGCAGTTTCACCGGACTAGGTGCCTGGGCTACTGGGCTGGGGACCTGGGCTCAAACTCCACCACCGCAGATTGTGAAATTTGAATTCAACTAAAAAATCTGAAATTAAAAAAAAGCTAGCTGACTGTTTATTGTTGTAAATGCTCATCTGGTTGATTAACGTCCTTTGGGGAAGGGAATTTGCCATCCTTACCTGGCCTACATGTAACTCCAGTCTTATAGCAAAGTGGTTAACTATTAACTGACCACTGAAATGGACTAACAAGGCATTCATTTCAAGGGTAATTAAGCATGGGTAACAAATTCTAGCCCAGCTAGTGAAATCCCATCCCGTGAGCAGCAATTTATTTAAATTCAAGTTGTAAGTATGTATGCTTGAACATCTCCATCCCACTTCCACCTGTGCAGAAAACTGAAATTTCTCCCCCCATGTCCACTGATAATCAGGGTAGATGCTAACTGCACTTTCTCTAAAGTATGTTTTTATATTTTTTCCCTATTGGAGAGTTAGTACAGAATCATGTTGACATCATTGGATACATTGCTTGTTCAATCAGATTTAGTGTATAAACTTTGTTCCATATGTGGAATCATTTTGGGAAGCAACGTGAACATTGCACTTAGAGGTTTCATAGCCTATTACTTGATGATGATGGTGTAACTTGCCATTTGAACTGAATTCCCCTTTAAACATTGTATACAGTTCCTCTACGGTTCATTCAACATTTATTTGTATGTAAGAATTGATATTGAAAATAACCACTGTTTCTTTTCCAATGTTTGAATTAGAAAACCAAGAAGATCGCCAACAAACGTTTCAGCTAGATGACTACTTAAGTGGAAAGTTTAGGTACAAGTCTTACAGCCTGAAGTGGATATCAGGTAATACTTAGTTAATTAATTCATGAATTAATTGTTTATATTTTCATGATTATTCTGACTCCAAAACTGTGTAATTTCGAAGGACAGACTAACTAAAATGAAGGAAAAATAGGAAATGGGATGAATACAAATTGAATTATGTTTAAAAAGAACAAATTAAAACAGATACTCTTCTTGCTTTTAAAATCACTGGCTTAAAACAACATAGAGCTGAGCAGTGTAGAGGAAGTGGAGTGAATGCCCATAGATTTCCGAAGGCAGCAAGTCAGTTTGTTAATGTATTCAAAGCATTTAGAACCCTACTAAAGTTAGAAGTTAGAGATTATGCTGGCACTGTATTATTCATTAGTTAGGTCACATCTTGAGTACTGTGTGCAGTTCTGGGCACGTCATTACAGAGAAGATGTAATTGCACTAAAGAGAGTGTAGAGGAGATTTAGAAAGATGTTGTCAGAACTGGAAAAAATGTAGCTAAGAGCAATGTTTGGATAGAGTGGAGTTGTTTTCATTGGAACAGATGAACCTGAAGGATGATTTGATTGAGATGTACAAAATTGTGAGGGACCTGGCTTGAGTGTGTGGGAAGGACCTGTTTATCTCAGCAGCAAGGTCAATGACTGGGGTAGTAGATTTGAAGTATTTGTTATAAGGGGGCGATGAAGCAATCTTTTTTTTAACCAAGGACATGGTCAGGGTCTGAAACTTACAATCTGAAAGGTAGTGCAGACAGAAACACTCAACTCTTTTAAAAGTTGAATCAGAGATAGTAGGAACTGCAGATGCTGGAGAATCCGAGACAACAAGGTGCAGGGCTGGATGAACACAGCAGGCCAAGCAGCATCA